CTTTTCCAAGGCCTTAACGCGCAGGTGATACATGGGCTAACAAATAACTGCAGCGAGCTAAGAACAGTGTTACAAACGACCAGTTAATTCATACTGACCATCCTTTATAGTATTTTTTTGGTAACGCTTTATAATAAGCCTCCTTTGGTCACTTATACGTGGTAGTCACTCATTAATGAAAAAAAATTACATTTATAACTGTCAATTAATGATTTACACGTTGCAACCTTTATAAACCATTCATAAACCCTTTATAAGGATTGTATTGTTGCAAAGAGATATCTTTTTTTTAATTTTCTGATTTTTTTCCTCAAAGCATGATATCATTAATGACTGTAAATCAAACTTATAATAATGGTTTGATGATGCCAGAATGGTTATTATTCTTGAAAATAAAACAATATATAGTACGCTGCGGAAAAAATTAAGAGACCACCGCACAATATCTTGTTTCACCCATTTCTCAATATATGGGTGTGTGTCTATGAATATATATATATATATTACAAAATGCATCCTGGTTCCTTCTTCCTACTTCCTTGCTTCTCCTGCTTCTAGGAGCCCCTAGCTCCCCTAGCAGTTTCCTATTCCTTTTGAAGGTCACTTGATGTCATCCCACGATTCAGGAGGAACTGTCGGATAAGTTAACAGTCATCTCTGGCATTAGAAAGCTGCTTCCACCCTTTACCTGTTTGGTTTCTGGTTGCCCCCAGTGTCTCCTGCCTCACCTTATTCTTTTGTATTGCTGCCATGGAACTTTTTAAGCTGGAAGCAACCTGACAGCAAAACCATGATTAAATCAGGATTTAAAAATGCTGATTTGTTTAAAAATATAGAGTGACATCTTGGTGCATTATAATACTGAAAGAGACCACTTCCACTGGGGAATACCGTTGCCATGAAGGGGTTACTTGGTCTGCAACAATGTTTAGGTAGGTGGTACATGTCAAAGTAACATCCACATGAATGCCTTTCCTTCTTCCCATAGTGTATCCTGGTGCCATTTTTTACCCAGGTTAACAACTCACATGCACCCAGCCATCCATATGATGCAATAGAAAACAAAACTCATCAGAGCAGGCCACCTTGGGCCATTGATCTATGGTCCAGTTCTGAAGTTCACATGCCCATTTTGGACAGGGGTCAGCATGGAGACTCTGTGTGGTCTGCGGCTATGCAGCCCCATACACAGTAAGCTGCGATGCACTCTGTGCTCTGGCACCTTTCTATCGTAGTCGCTTTGGTGATGCTCTAACCCAGTCATCTAGCCATCACAATTTTGCCATTGTCAGAGTTGCTCAGATCCTTACGCTCGCCCATTTTTCATGCTTCCAACACAACAATTTCAAGAACTTTTATCTCAAATTATAAGAAATTTCCAAAATCATGAACATGACTATGTGATATGTATATTAATGACGAAAAACATGGCAATTTCTGTCCTTAAAAAAATCACTGCGGAGTAGATTCATTTTGAGCATTACAAAGACAACAAGATGAAACAAGTCATTTTGACCTCTATTAGCACTCAATATTTTCCCAGTCTATTTGGCTGACAATGATTTATCGGAAATGTAAGCCAAAGCAACCAGGAGCAAGAGTCATGCCTGCAGAATACATTAAACAAGGCTCCAGTGCTTGCATTGTGATAGCACATTCTGTGCTACCTAGCTACCTATTTAAGTGCTTCATTAGCCTATCAAGCCACAAGATCATATAAACACATTTTATTATATATCACAGCAAGGCTTCTTTTTGACGTTACAGAAGAAAGTTCTGAATTTGACAGCAAATAAAGATCCATATACTATGACTTACAGTTGCAATACTTGGAACAGAATACAAAGTGGGCTTAAAGGAGACATACATCCCACTTTTCTCCACACCAAGGTCAAATATTGTGTCTGTCATTTACAGAGATACTGTTCTCAGACTGTATTTTTTAAGTAAATATAGAACATGGAAGGAATTTAAGAGTGGGACGCCTATCATGACCCAGCATTCCTTAGTCATTGAAAATATGCTTCAGAATTCAACTTACAGAATGATGTAGCTCCTTGCTTTTCTCTGCTTCAAAACTATTCATATTTCGTCCTAAAAAGTAATTTAATGCGTGAGTAAAGTGGGGGCAGAGCCATGTCTTGCCGTCCCATGCAAAAGACACCGTTACTGAATCCATGATAGGTTGACAGGACCTTGACTGGAATAAACAGGATGTGGTTCATAAAATAAAAACTGATACAGGAGACGATTTCCAATACACTTTGGAGGGAATTGAGAGAGTAAGTCTGACGTTCGACATGCCTGAAATGCTTAATGGTTCTTGGTTTTTGCTCCATTTTCCTTTTATGGTGCTGATTTCGGGTACCTCTGGGAGTGTTTGTTATAAGGTGTCTCCTGTTGCCCTCTAAAAAAACTTGTTTGTCCATGCCCCCACAATCATGGACCAGCCCACCCTCCCAGCAGAATTTGACATGGCCCATAATGGACGCAAATGGCAGCATGAATGCAAGTGTTACAGAACATTTACTGCAAAGTAATAATTTCAATAATTTTTTTCTGGCCTAAACCATTTATCTTTTCTATTTATAGGTACTCATATTGGAGCTGAGTGGAAAGAACAGTATGATTTCCTTATTAGGAAACTGGCATGAAACCAGCTTTTTTTTTTTTTTAAATTTCCGTCACCTCTTCCTGTCTCACTGACTCACAGCGCGAAAATTATTAACTTTGGGGGGAGATGAAGTAAAAGCACATTCGAAGTGTGCGATATGAAATCTTTACAGGTGTCAGTCATCGTGGGGGTTGCCAGTTGGGAATCACAGCTCAGATAAATCCTCCTGAGCATCACCAACAGCACCAGGCTGTCACTCAAATGACAATATGTTTGTCACCTCCCTCCCAGGGCCCCGGTACATTAACACACCAGTGAGTTATTACAAGATGTGTCGACCGGCTGTAAAAGGTGCTGATTGGTCAACAGGAGGACTATTAAAAGGTTATTTTAGAACACATTTAACATACATAGGCAGACTTGAAAGCACTTTTAAAAACAGGCTACTCTATGAACCAGATAAAGGCAAGGGTTGAAATGCTGAATTTGAAATGCAGACAAATTATTTTTAACACCCTTAATTTCCCGTAGAAGATATACTGGATTACTCTATAATAAATTATATTTTTGTAAAGTTCTTTGAAGAACTTGATGCCAAATTCATACTTCACACACATAGGGTAGGGGTGCTTAGTGGCGATGTTTTATTTACCCAACCTAACTATTTGTTAGAATGTGGCATCCTCCCAGTGCTCACTCAGCCCTTCCGGGACCTCCGAGTGTTCTCTCAGCCCTTCCAGGACCTCCCAGTGCTCTCTCAGTCCTTCCGGGACCTCCCAGTGCTCTCTCAGTCCTTCTGGGACCTCCGAGTGTTCTCTCAGCCCTTCCGCGACCCCTGAGTGCTCGCTCAGCCCTTCCACGACCTCCGAGTGCTCACTCAGCCCTTCCGTGACCTCCCAGTGCTCTCTCAGTCCTTCCGGGACTTCCCAGTGTTCTCTCAGTCCTTCCGCGACCTCCGAGTGCTCGCTCAGCCCTTCCGTGACCTCCCAGTACTCTCTCAGTCCTTCCGCGACCTCCTAGTGCTCGCTCAGCCCTTCCGGGACTTCCCAGTGCTCTCTCAGTCCTTCCGAGACCTCCGAGTGCTCTCTCAGCCCTTCCGCGACCCCCGAGTGCTCTCTCAGTCCTTCCGCGACCTCTGAGACTTCCCAGTGCTCGCTCAGCCCTTCCGGGACCACCCGGTGTTTTCTCAGCCCTTCCGGGACCTCCCAGTGCTTTCTCTGACCATGTCCCATTTTATGCTCCATTTCTGTATTTAATAAACAGTCACATTCCTTCAGTCTGGCCAAGAGCCCAAAATCCAAGTGACATGTTGTTTACAATATAATTTAACAATTGTAACATATAGTGTCAACAGCAATAAAACCTTTTTATTTAATATTGGTGTACATTTTGTATAAAATTACTTACATTTATTACATTTTTTTTTTCAAAATACAAGCAGCCAAAGTTGACATTTAATCAAATATAAAATTATAAAACCCGTTAAATCTATATGCATTCGTGAAGGTAGAGACAGCTGATAGGGGTTCGTTTTAAATGGAGTTTGATCCGTCGATGTGCAGTCTCTGCAGAAAATGTGTGAATCTTGTTTTGCCCATGATTTTAACAGAACATAAGTCATGAAGTGCAAGAAGCTAAGGAGCTGTCTGCAAATAAAAAGGAATATTAAAAAAATGCACTTTCAAATTAATTGTTCTTAAAAAAATACTAATGAACAAATATGTAATTAACAGGTTCACAAGAAGGAGAATGAAGAAGAACGAATGAGAATTAGATAGCCTTACTAAAGGTTGAATGTATATAGTATACTTGGAAAGTAAATCTGTAAAATAAAAAATTGTGTTAACAGGATTAATTTGTAATGAATCCTTTCATTACCGTCAGATATTAAGATACGTTTAACCTCTGCTGGTGATCCAAAATGTCCACATAAGCTCGCACACAGATGAAAAAGAGTGACCTTTATCGTTAATACACACGGGTTACACATACGACGTTTGCCTTTAACAAGTGAACCAGACGAATTTAACCTTGGCTACAAAAAGGAAAAAAAAATAAAGATTGTATATCCATCTTGATGAAAAAGAGACGCAAAAGGAAATTATAAAATAATTTTACACCTTTCTAAATAATGACGGTTTAACTGATCTGTTGTATACAAGGTAAATCAGCAGCAGTTTTTATGATATATATAGTGCAGTATTTATATTCTTTGTGGGAAAAAAAACGGGTAAAAATGGAGAAGTCCGAAGTGTCAGCACGCTAACAGAAAGAAGCGGCAACGCTGTTGGCAAAAAAAAAGGAAAAAGGGACCATTCTGGTAGGACTTAGAAAATCTTCCATTTCCGCCTTTGTTTTATACATTTATACAGGGCGTACAAAAGAGGAGTGTAAAAGCAGTCTACGCAGCCGTCTCCCGAATCGTCCCCTCCAGTCTCTTTGGGAGAAGCTCTCGCCGCTCGTCGATGCTGATAACCGGTTTCCGGCAATTTTGTCCGTCAAGGTATATCTTAGCGTATATGGGGTTCGAGTAGTTTATGGACTGCAAAAGCACAACCTTGGAGTTAGAGGTGAGCATCTGCAGTAGTTCATAATCCCAAAACACTCAGCATGCATGAGACTCCACAACCAGCTTCAGGACAAAATGCATCATCCATAAAACAGGCATTTTTACATAAGCTGATGTTTAAAAACTATTCATAGTCTTATTTATTCTTGAAAGTATAGAGGCTTGATTAACAACAAAAAAGTAAAGGCTGTTTCAGTTAAGTATAAGGAAAATGAGCCATGCAAACAAATGTAAAGGAAAAAGTATCTGGATAAAATCACAGCCACAAAGTCTGAAACTGTTCATGCAAGGACAGCACTACACATGCAGGCAGGAACACCTCAAACAGCAGCTTGGTATGACCCACTTTCGTCATCTTCATTTACCAGAACACCATGGCAATTGTTAGCAAAGTTTCAGCTCCAGATGTCAGCTGGAATGGCCTTAAAACCAACAAATGGCTAAAACTGTAAGCGGTGCACCTGGGTTTGTTCACATCATAACCTGATGTCTAACCTGAGGTGTGACTGACACGAGTGGGATACGGAAACAGGCTGTTTGAGCAGGAGTGGGGAGGGGCAAGAAGATCACCTGTCCGGGAATGAGCTCCTTTGGGACAGTGTGAACGGGAAGGCTGCGGGAATCGCTGGATTTTACACACCAGCCCTACAACACAAAGCGCACCTACCTGAAAACCCCCCATCTCCCATAAACACCCACAAACGACCCCAACCGTCCTCAACGGTGACCGTCATGTCTGACAGGAATCACTTCTTATCCAGCCAATCATCAAATGCATCATTTAGTCCGGCAGACATTAAATAAAGCTGACATGGTCTCAAATGGTCTCCCATTTTACAGGGATCTTCTATGGATTCAGAAACTGCCTGTGTTACCCTATCTAAAGGAGCTTCCTGCATTAAAGCAAGGAAATGCAGTCTAAATCTATGGCAATTAAGTCATTATGTAAGTGTGGCTACACCCACTGCTACACCCACTGCTGCCTGAAACATTGCGAGAGGGGCACCATCTGTTTCTGGACTCATTTTTCGATCAGTTATGGAAATCAGTGTCAGGCTGAGCGAGTGCCCCAGTGTGTCAAAGAAGTCCCAGGTAAGGCACTCCTGTCTGGCTGGGTGCAGGGGGACACAAGCGGGTAATGAAGTTCTGTCAGCAGAGAGCCAAGAGTGGAAAGGAAGATGGTGGCAGGCTGATAGTTCAGCAGGCAGCCAAAGCCTTAATGCATTCCTTTCTTTTTGTAAACTTTTTATATGCAGAGAACAAGAGAAGCTTTAGGGAAAGCGGCAGAAAAGTACAAAGTGAGATAAGGACAATCATTGATTTTCCATCTGAAACAGGCAAGAAAGCTTAGTGTAGTTCGATTTCACATAAGTTTTGATGTTCTGATTAAGACTTTGTGGTGCCCATGGTGCTTGTGACTTCCGATGCATACAAGTACAGTGGTACCTTAGAACTCAAATTTAATCCGTTCAGAACTCCGGATCAAATCCTAAAAAGTTCGAGTTGTGATCAAATTTTCCCCATAAGAAATAATGGAAAACGAATTAACTGGTTCCCGGCCTCAAAAAATTACATCTAAATATGTTTTTTTTAGCATTTAAACACAAAATGACCTGGATAAAACAAGAACAGCATATACTGTACTAAACACATCTAAGCACATTTATCAAAACAGTAATTTGTAAAGTAAGAAAATAAATGTATCCAAGCAATGTGTAAAGTTAAAAAAACAATGTGTCCTGCCCCGATCGTCCGCTCCTTCCGTGTGCCACGCCCCCTCGTTAACCCCGTCTGGAATTCCTGTGTGATCAGCTGTTTCAGGTTGTTTTCATTAGCTCTCTGTATTTGTCCGCGTTTCAGTTTGTTTCCCCAGTCCGGTCATTGTATTGTCTGTCTGCGTTTTGCCTGCTTCACCTGTAATTAAACCCCGTATTCCCCGATACCCTGACGTCTACGTCTTTGTCTCCGTTCCGTCCCCACTCGGCACGACAATATTATTATAATTAAATGTATTAATGGTTTATTATTAATATTAAAATAATTAGTAAGAAATCTTTATTTTTAAATGTATTTTATTATATAGCAAGAATTACTGTTACTGTCTATCATTGTCCAAATGTATTTTTACTGTCTAAAAATATGTATTCAGCTAGTGTAAACATGCACAATGCTATCACAGCGAATGCGAGGCTGAGACTGAAGCGTTACCCTTTGAGAGACGTGCCGCGTGACTCATTTCCCCGCGTGTACAAGTTATCTTAGGTCGGCGTTCATGGTTCAGCTTCTGAGATTCAGATCGAGTTCTAGGTAATTTTTTTCTAACTTGTTGGTTCAACTTTTAAGAAATTTGACTTCTAATGAGTTCGAGAACTGAGGTACCACTGTATTGTTCCTGTCTGTCCTTATGAGCCACAGGCCTGTGTCACATCTTGGCATGAATACAATGCCGGCTTTTTAAAAAATGTTTAAAATATTAAAAATGTGTAGATTCCATCTTAAACAAAGTAGTCCATATAAATGATATGATAATATTATATCATTATTATTCATTAATTATTTATATTTAACTTATATACAAGGAACATCCATTACTGCTACATTTTCTATGGTACTGTATGTATGTATTTTGTCTCTGTTTTCTTTGCATGCCGAGTTCTGTGTTTTTGTTGAGAAGTAGTATTTGGTCTTACAGCAGTCGTTTCACCACAGAGACGGCATTTTTGCACACCTTGTGAGGGTCCAGCGTGAAGTTGGGATGCAGGATGCTCCCGGCATCTGAGTGGTTGTCGTGGTCGACCTCGTACATGTTGTAAGATGGGTTGCCGATCTCCACATTCATGCCCCCATTAGACATCGGCTGCCGCTGAACTCGCTTGCCCCTGTAAACGTGACTTGGTTACCGTAACCACGGCAACAGGACACACCAAGGCGCAGTGTCTGACTTGTGCAGCACGTAAGCCTTACCTCTGCATTCTTTTACAGATGAAAACACCTGCCACCACCGTGGTGATTAACAGGACCAGGAGCACAAGGGGGACAATGATTGCAATACTTCCTGCAATGAAAAAAAGGTGACAATAAAATTACTACATATGCTTTGTGATTAAATGGTAGCATACTTACTGTCTTATTGCAAGCACCTTAATCTAGATTTGTATTTGTGTTTTGAGGTGCATTTGTTTGCTGGGGCCTGCAGATTAATATTTTCACTGCATAGTGGAACTGACTCTTTATTGTACATGTGACAATAAACCCGTGAATGTTGATTGAATTTCTAATAGGATCATGACATGTCTCTGTTTCTTACTTATGCAACATTACAAGGAAAGAAGGAAATCAGACACCAGCTATGGCTAAGCCAACACTCAATTCTTGCACATGCAGAAACATAAGGTCAGTGGCTGGTAGGTATAGCCCATGGGACTCGTGCAGGCCCCCTCCCAGGTACTCACTCCCGCTGGAGTCATCGGATCGGCTGCTCTTGGGGGCGGGCCTCTCGCACTGGGTGCCTGACCAGTTGGCGGAACACCTGAAATGAGCCAATCAGTAGGCACAGTTGGCAGGAATTACAACGGCCTCCTGGAAATCCCCGAGGCATGCGGTGATATGCCGGTCTACCCGCCGATGACGATAAGAACGGCAAACTGAGGGGTGACGGCCGGCAGCGGGGCGGCCATGCCACCAGGCTGGGGGATGGAAACTGCAGGGTTAGGTTCATGAGCACAAGCTGTAAACAATGGAGCCTGGGAAACACCAACCTCGTTATTTCTGCATTCAGAAATACTACACTGTAAGTGACATATGATGCTAATTATAGGTACAGGAGTGTGTATATGAGAGTGTATGTCAGTGGAAGGGTAGGGCACGCCCTCCGGATTGTTTTACTGAGAGCCATCTGAGATAAACTCCCAGGTGATGATGTAAGGATGGCCGGTTAAATCGGCCCGGCTCCGAGCCACATGTAATCACATTTACATAACGGAGTGGGCATCTCGGAGGCGGTCATCTGCATTAAGCACAGGTAATCAGGAAGCTAATGAAATGTACGTCTTAGCAAGGGTGATTAGATCCGGCTCAGCATCGGGAGTGGGGGGGAGAGGGCACAGCCTTGCTGTGGGCCGCTGTCAGGAAAACGCCGGAATGCCGCATTCCATGGAGGGCATGTGTGCTGCTAACTAGGGTTTCTGGTTGAAAGTGGGGTATCCATGGGGCGACGCCACGGACGCGCGTACAGAGAAGCAGCAAGGCGATTACGAAGATACACCCACACGGGCTCCACAAGACGGAGATCACAGAAGGACCCGGAAGCATAATGGGATGCAGATATGCCCCAAAGTTGGAATGTCAGATGAGCAGCACGTTGGCAGAGGTGGGATCTGAGGCCTGGGAGCGGACGACAACAACGTGAGCTGACATTGCCGAAATGGGAGCACATTAGCAGGGGCGGGGGGGTTACAGTTATGGTCATGGCAACGGAATCTGGGTCCTATCTATGACCTACTTGCAGCGAGGCTTTTTAAAGGCGTTTAGCGTGCAAATCCCCTCGTTCTGACAGTAGTGATCGCACGGGTTCGCCCGCTCGTCGCAGCGCTGGCTTTTGAACCCGGCTGTGCAGCTGCGGGAATTGCAGTGGGATGACAAAACGGAGAAATAAATGAAGGAAAAACACATTCTCACAATCCACCAGCTCACAGCGCCAAGGATGCAGGAAAGTCAGAGGTGGGCCAACCGAAATGTAAGGAGAAAACAAACATTTTGTCCATGTGTTGTTTCATTTGCCAAAAAACACAACAAACTACCAACTGCCATTGTTCTTCTGACATCATTATTTACCCACCGCAGGACAAGGCAGTGTAGGAGATGGCAAAAGGGCCTACAGATCTAAAAGCATTAGGAGGAGGGGGACACAGGGGCCTCACAATCTTTAATACCTCCCTGGGCGCAAATGCAATATCACACCGCTAACGCCATATGGGCGGTCAAACGCTTCAAAGACTTATCTGAGAGCCGTGTTCATATTACCGACCAGCTGCCTTGGGCATATAACACAAAGTCATAACACTGACTTTTAAAGCTTCATGACACGGCTCAACAAGCTGCAACACAATCGACTGACCGCAGTTTTACTTTCTCATTTAAATCTGGTGATTTTTTTCCTGCTTACACAAAATGCTGGGGGGGGGGGGGGCATAAATTCAGGGAAAGGTCCTCTTCAGCAAGTCATAGACAACACATACAAAAAAGATTAAATCCACATATTGCAGCTAATTAGCAAATACCTGAACCGTGAAAGGGACTTTTCAGGTTTCTCATTACTGTTTTTATGGCTTTAATACGTACATGAGTCAGGCAATAAGTACGTCAACAGCTATAGAAATAAGGTCAGTTCCTAACTGCAAGCCCCATGACTCAAAAAGGGGCACAGTTTCTACCCTGCAGTGTCTATTACAATTAGGACTAAATAATATTTCTCTTAACCACTTAAAAAACAATATTAAAAGGCATCATCAAAATACCAAATACGGCTTATTGGTGTATTCACTTTTTTTAATTAATCTGCAATTAAACGCCAGTTTTACTCAAATGCAGTCAGTGACAGTCATCATCTGGCTGATAAATGCCTATGAGCTTCTGTCATTTTATAAAGCTGTAATCCATCAAAGCTTCCCAACAAATATTTTAAGTGAGTTTTTGTCTGAATGGGATGAGTGAAGCTGATAGACTGAAACTTGCATTCTTGTTATTTTAAAGGGAAAGACTGAGTGTGCAGGGGGATAAACTGGGTTAAGATTATTCAAGTTTCCATTTTTTAAAGTTTCAAGTGCGCTGAGAAGACGGCCCAGAGACGTTCCACTTGGAAACAACATGCAGTTACGTTACACTTAACTATCCAAGTGACCAATAATGCCCCCATGTCTGACCAAAGGAGCTTCAGTATGTTCCCGTATGGGGGATCTACAGGAAATCCCTGTTTGTGTGCATTGGAGCATTGCCGTGGTCCT